GAGGTAGAAGAAATGTCACATTTTTTTTCTATTTTTCTAAGTCAGATGTGATGTGGCTCAAGTCTTCAGTAGTCTTATCCATAAAATGGTAGATTTCATTACTTTGGGGAGCTGTGTCTCTACCCTAGAATTCCCTGAGTGTGTGAGTGTGTGTATGGGAGGCGGGAGTCAGGATCTTGGCGACTCCCAGTGTGTAGCTGGAGAACTTTAGCAACAGGGCTGTTTCTGTGCCTGAAGGAACTAATAGGGGATCAGGACAAGAAGCTGGGGTCATAAAGAGGGGCCCCTGGACAGGACCATGAACCACACAAGCGGACCCCCAACAGGACCATGGCCAAACAAGGCAGAGAAAGAAGGGAGTGGATGTGGGGGGCAGGAGGTGGGTGAGGAATAACTCCACAGAGACTTAGGGGAGTCCCAGAGGACTTCAGTCAGTGCTGTGTCTGCAGTCAGCACTTTACCTCACTCTAGGGGATCCAGTTCCCCAGGAAGGACCCTCTGGTGCCGACCAAGGGTTGGATGCTGTGGTGAAACGTGTGATGGTGGAGTGGAAGGAGAGGCAAAGCACACAGGGTGTGTGAATCAGTTTTCTGCTACTGTAACAAAACATTCGAGACAAGCAACATTAAAATAGGGAAGGTTTGTTTTAGCTTATTGTTTCATTCCTCTGAGGGCAGCACCCCCAGTGCCCTTATGTCCTCCCTAGGTCCTACCTCTTGGAGAGTCTATTGTTATTATTGTTGCTGTTGTTTTAGTACTAGAAATTGAACTGAGTTACAGTGCCAGCTCTATTCTCATTTTTCATTCTGTGACAGGGTCTTGTTAAATTGCTAAGTTGCCTAGGCTGGATTCGAACTGGTAGTTGTTCTGCCTCAGCCTCCCAGAATCTGGGATTACAGGTGTGCACCACCCTACCTCTTAGCACCACCCGGTGCTTCTAATACAGGAACCCACATCCAGACCACAGCATCACTGTGAGAAGAATCAACTCAGACACTCCCGAAGAAGACAGTATGGGGGAGATCAGAAAGAACAGCCCAATAAATTGAATATTTAAAAAATAATATAATGCCAGGGGCTGGGGATATAGCCCAGTGGTGCCACCGCCTGCCTCGCAAGTGCAAGGTCCTGAGTTTGACCCCTAGTACCTCTCCAAAATATATATATAGTGCTCTGTACCAAGTGCTATTGCAAGTGTTTACTAAGCTACTGATTATTGACTTATTTAATCCTATTAGCTGTTTTCATCCCCATTTTATAGATGAAGAATCTGAGGCTCACTGAACTTGAGGAATGAGCCCAAGGTCACATAGCCAGCCCTATGTTGTGGTTCAGATCTGAAATGTCTCCCAGAGTCTCACATGTGCAGAGGTGGAGCTTTTGGTAGGTGACTGTCATGCGGTGCTGTACTCGGCAGGAGATGCACCCATGGATGGCTCAGAAGTGGGTGTGCTGTGAGGAGGTGGGGCCTGGTTAGAGGAGGCATCCCTGTGGCCATGACATGGAAGTGTGCATGCTCATCCTGGGTGCTCCCTTCACTCTCTGCTTCCTGGCTGCCGTGATTGAGCGGCTTTCCCCACCAGGCCCCTCGCCATGGACTGAACTTTCCGAAACTGAGAGCCAAACAAACCCCTCCTCCTTTGTGTCAGGAATGTCAGGCACGTTTTCCAGAGATGGGAAGGGTGACTAACACAGCACAGAAGAATCTGGGAGTCAAACCTAGGTAATCGTTTCGAGTTTGCACTCATTAATACATTTTTATATTGTATACATTTGAGTAGTTGATGAAGGTGCATCAAATGACCACTGTGTTTATCGAAGTCACTTTGCAGACCAAATTCTCATAATACTTATTGCCTGATGCTCTAAATTAGGTTTTGTCCCTAGATGGAGAAAACAGTCATGAGTTTGGAGCAAGAGCAAGACAGCAAGAGCAGACAGACTGTGGCCTCGTACCTGTCGTCTGTCTCTCAGCAGGGCCTGCTTACCAGGTCTCTCTGAGAACCTGAAATGGGCAGAGTCATTGATTCAGACGGATGTGACCAGCTGGCGCTGAGGTGAGGGGAGGTCTCTCTCCCTTGACAAATGTCTAGTGAGCTTTAAGATGGCCTCCCAGGCAAAAACCTTGTTATAGACATGCACACAGCTTATCCACCTCGTCTTCTTAAAAGTCATCTCTATGGGGGCCAGGGATGTAGCTCAGTGGCGCTGCAAGTAAGCGTACGGTCCTGAGTTCGATTCCTGGTACCAAAAGAAAGAGAAAAAGAAAAAAGAAAAACAGAAAGAAAGAGAAAGTCGAGAGCAAACACAAGCATCTATCCCGCATCTGGAGAGAAGGGAGGCAGCCCCTTCTGGGCAGAGCTGCCTGCATCTCAGGCACTGGTCAAGAGGTGGGGTGCAGGGGGTCATCAGTCTCTTCCTGAAGCCTGGCAGGTCAGGGACGGCTCTGTCCCCTAGAATAATGCAGCTCGCCAGTGGCGGGAGGAGTCAAAGGCCGGGATGGCAGAACCTGTCCTTTCAGCTGCTCCTCAGCCCAGCAACCCAGCATCCCTGTCTTGACCTTGACCTTGAACTCCTCTCAGGATCCATCCAGCTCCTAGAGGGCCCGTCCTAGTGTTGGGCAGAGCGGTGAGAACGTTTTGTTAAAAGTGTGCCCATGACTGCGGGGAGGAAAATCCACCCTGTAAACCGGCTCCCTCCGGCACACAGAGCAGGTAGGGAGGGTATCAGCCAGTTTCCGTAACAGGGCAGGGACTGTCCTTCACAGAGAACAAAAGTGAGGGCCGTGAACAGGCCAGGTGCTGTTGGTCTTCACCGTTTGCTCCGAGGCTGCCAGCCGGACATCCACAGTGTTAGGGCAAAAGAGTCGGTGTGTGTACCGCACCTGGCAAGGAGATTCTGGTGAGCGTGAAGTCAGAGTGGCCGAGAATTCTCCGGGCAGCGTGAGGCAGCGGAAGTCCTGGGTCCCCACTCCATGACTCATCTAGAAGAGGCGATACGGAGGGCTCTAGGTTGGCAGCCAGAGAAACAGCGCGATGCGCGATCCAAGGAGGAAAGCAAGCTGCGGGCCCCGAGGGACGCGACAGCAGAGCTCCTGGGGACGGGCCACACTGGGCCCCTTCACAGTGACTCCCACAGAACCCAGTCTCTGCCAGCGTCCTCCCTAGGGTCCTCGGAACCTTTCCTGGGTCGGGGTCACAATCGCTGTTTCACAGATGGGGAGACGGCTGCATCCCGGCAGGGGATGACAGGCAGTAGAGGTGGGACTTGCACCTCCCGAAACCACTGTGGCTTCTTGACTTGACACGGAGCAGGAAGAGGGCGGTGTGTACTGGACAGAGGGCGGAGACTGGCTGGGCAGGGCCAGGAGGGGGGCATCGTCATGGCGATCCCTTGCTATCTTCTGAGTTTTGCACTAAATGAACGCTACTTTTCAAAATAATATGTAGAATAACAAAGAAGACTAATAGTCCCCCCTCCACCAAGCCCCATAAAAGGTCATTGGGAGCCGGGTGTGGTGGCGCACACCTGTAATCCTAGCACTTGGGAGGCTGAAGCAGGAGGATCGCTGTGAGTTCGAGACCAGCCTGGGCTACATAGTAAGTTCCAGATCAGTCTCGACTACACAGTGAGACCCTGTCTCAACCCCCCCACCCAAAAAAAGGTCATTGGGGAAGCAGCTAAAATCAGCTGTTTGTTTTCATTTTTCAAAAATAAATGTACGCCCAATAGGAAGCACCGATGGCTATTCCATATTTATACATTAAAAAGAATTGATGCAAACAGTGGGTATGATGTTGTCTACAGTAAGAATAATAGGAAATGTTTGATATTGTGTTTTACTTCATTTTGTTTAAACATTTAATCAAACATTTTAATTTATACGTTTGAAGTGACATAATTGTATATATAACATATTATATGTATATGAATATATAAGGGTGACTAAATCAAGCCAATTAATACTTTTGCTACCTCATACACTTTTCTTGTGGTGAGAACATTCTTAGGAATTTTTTTCAAGTGTATAATACCTTAGTATTTACTATGGTCGTCTGTACAACAGATCTCTGAAACTTTTTCCCTGTCTAAATGAAATTGTGTATCCTTTGTAAAATATCTCACCTACCCTCACAGCTCCTAGTAATCACCCTTCTTTCTGAATTCAGCTTTTTAAATCCTACGTACTGTATAAGTGAGTGAGACCATGCAGTATTTTTCTTTCTGTTCTTCTTTCACTTAGCATAATATCCTTTGTGTTCCTCCACATTGTCACAGATGACAGAATTTTCTTCTTTTTAAAGACTGCATAATATTCCATTGTATATATACTCCTTTTTCTTTATTCATTACCAGTGTTTCCTTCTTTTTGAAGGCTGCATAATATTCCATTACATATACATCCCATTCTGTTTATCTATTTGTTCACTGATGCTTATACTGACTTCATATCTTGGCTCGTGCTGCGGTAAACACAATGTGTGGATGTCTTACTGATACACCAATTTAATTTCCTTCAGAATTCAAATTTCTGAAGTAGCTCTATGTTATGGTTTGGATTGAACATGCCCCTGAACTTCTCATGTGTTCAGGGGTGGGGCTTTTGGAAGGTGACTGGATGGCAGGGTGGCTGAACCCATAACTAGATTAATTCACGGATGAATTCATGGGTGACCAGGCCTATTTTCGTCTCTGACCCCTTCCACAGAATGACTCAGCCATAAAGAGAGAGGAATGAGGTACTGATTTATGCTACAACATGGATGAAATAAGTGACGACTTTGTGCTCCATGAAGGGAGCCAGTCATGAGGGGTCTCAGGTTACCGGACCCATTTATGTAAGGGCCCAGGATGGGGAAATTCACAGACAGAGAGCAGGGGGTGCTGGGGCTGAGAGGATGGCAGGGCAGTGAGCTGGTGCTGCTGACAGGTACTGGGTTTCTTTTCAGTGTGACTGAAAATGTCCCCAAACTGGTTATGGTGTTGATTGTAGTGTTATGATTATCATAAATAGTACTGAACTATACACTTTAAAACTCTGAATTCTATGCTATATGAGTATTGGGAAAAGTTTTCAATTAGCAATAATCGCGCCTCGGATAAACCTCATTGGCTACGATACTGCCACTGCGCAAAGCTATGCTATATGAGTAATACCTCCATTTGAACCATGCCATTTCAAAAAAGAAGATTCCAACACAAAGGTCTGTGTGTCTGCTTCTGATTGGTGGAATCACACATATATGTTTGTTTGTTTTGGGTTTTTTTTGTTTGTTTGTTTTTTTGAGACAGGGTCTCACTATGTAGTTGAGAGTGCCCTGGAATTCACTGTGTAGCCCAGGCTGGTCTCGAATTCACAGCGATCCTCCTGCCTCAGCTTCCGGAGTGCTGGGATTACAGGAGTGTGCCACCACACCTGGTACACATATATGTTTAGTTCCCTTTTTACAGCTAACATATTACCTAAGTTATTTCTGGTAAACCCTTCTAAATTTTAAAATAAGGAAAACTGACATAAATGTGAGCAACACTAAGATTCATTTGATAAAGGAGGGGAAACTGCTGCACATTCTGCAACTGTCCCACATACACATACAACAGCAGCAGAGGAAAAAGAAATAAAATGAATATGTGAAAGTGGTAAGACTGGGCATGGATTTATAAATTGTAAATTTTTGGGGTATTATAATCTTCATTTTTACAAGTAGGTGGGAAATGACCATATTTGCCTCACAAACTAAATCAGTTTATTTGCTATAGAAAATATTAATGACAACCTTATCAAGTCTGGGTGTCTGTTTCTTTCTACAAATCTTCATTGAATACATTTCCCACTTCTTTTGTGAACTTTTACCTTTTTCTCATCTTTCCTATTTTCCCTTGTTTCCTTTTTCTTTTTGTGTTACTTTTATCCAAAATTGTTCATTTCCTACAGTGTTCTAGATTTTAGGGCTTAACTTTAAATGGTATTTCTTATCAATATGCTTTGTGTTTATATAGCTTTTCAATTTTGTTTCTCTTGTATTCTTTTGGGTATGAGTCATATTAGTGGTTTGTAAATATTGTTTTTATCTCAGTTATACATATTAAACATACTCCTTTATATTTAAAAAAATTAGATATGGATCTCATTTTTCCCTTTTGAAAAGATACAAAAGTTCCCCTGGCACAGCTCCATCTGTGTGCCTGGTGTCTTTTTTTGGTTTTATTTTTTGGTACTGAGGATTGAACTCAGGACCTTGCACTTGTGAGGCAGGTGGTGAGACCACTGATCTAAATCCCTGGCCTTCTTTTTTGATTTTAAAATAGTTCAGTTTGGCCTTTTGCACTGCACCGTTCCATCGTGGAGATCTCCTTCCACGCCTGTCTGGTCGTTGTGTGGGTAGAAAGCTACACCAGCGCTATCTCCCATTGTGTGGCATTCGGAGAAAAAAATGTGTGAATCTTTTTGTATCTACTGAGAATATCTTTGTCTTCAAAACTACAATTAAGTTTTGTGAAAGCGTGATGTATACTTGAGAGAGCTATTTTCCAATGTGTCCTTTTCAGAGCAGTTTCTCTAATGGCATCCATTTCCAGGAGAGATGGAGACCGCTGACCTACCGGGACTTGATTTGTTGTTCTGTGGAGCACAGCCCTTTTACGGGGCGGATGAAAGGAGCATTGTCGGGCTTTATGCCAATGGTGCCAAAGGTGCCCTCCCTGCTGGTGCTCTGCTGCAGTCAGGGCTGCCTTAGGCCCAGTGGTGTCCTGGGGACACACCTTTTCCTGTATTGAATCAGACTGACCCAAGGTCCTTGCAGCTCTTTTCAGCTTGGCTGGAGAAGGAGTACTTTTGTGGAGGGCTGGCTTCCCATGCAAATCAACCCCACCCTGCCTTCCGGCTGCATTCTGGGCAAGCCTGGGTTTGCTGGAATCTGGGGTGAACAGAACTTAATCAGTCAAGCTGGGACATGCTACACTTGCTCTTATGCAAACAGGATTTGTCTGTGGCAGGTTTTTTTTTTTTTTTAAATCATTGATTTTTTTTTTTTCTTCTTTCTTTAGGTTGTTTTGTTTTATTTTGTTTTTGGTACTGGAGATTGAACTCAGGACCTTGTGCTTTCGAGGCAGGAGCAGCACCACTGAGCTAAATCCCCAGCCCCCCTCTTCTGCTTTTTTGACAGGATCTGGCTTTATAGTTTGGGCTGGCTCTGAACTATGTAGCCCAGGCTGGCCTCAAATTTGTGGCAATCCTGCCTTAGCCTCCTGAATGCTGGGATTATAGGTGTGTACCACCATGCCTGGCAATCACTGCTTTCTTTAAATGTGCTTTTTGGTAAGATGCATGGATATAGATTTTGTCTTTTTAATCCAGTCTGTGATTCTGGTTTCTTTTTACACATAGGAGAATTTAGTACATTTACATGTAATCTTATAATGTTGTCATTCTGTTATCTAGCATTTTCCTCAATAAAATTCTTTGTTTTTCTTTTTTGTAATTTAACACAGGATTTCTATTGGATGATGTTTTTAAAATTCATTTAGGTGAGATCAAGTGTAACATCTGTGAACAGCCCAATTTCCTAGTATATTACTGTCTTCATTCACCTCTCCCAAACATCCTATGCTCATTTTTCGTATCTAACTCAAAAACGTTTTTCTTTCCTACCTATAGATTTAGAATGTTTTGATTTTTACTCATCTTCTCCAAGTCCTGCTTCATCATGTCTTCTTGGTTTTGTTGTTCTGAAAACTTGTCTCCCTAGTTATCTATTTAAAAATATTATTACAGCTATATATCCCTGCTCCTCAGAGTAGGATATGCATTTCTGTGGAGATGTGGGCTACACGGATACACTGATAAAATAATCACTTCCCTTTCACTCGGACTGTCACTGCCCAACATGAGCACATGTTTCTACTCGAGGTAGAAACCTGGGCCATCTTAATTCTACTGATTGAGGATGTTTCCCTGCCTCGGTTGCCTGCTTCACTCCAGTGGGCCGCAAACACAATGCATAGGTGGGTCCGAGCCAATCGAAGGTTTTCTCTGCAGAATTCTAGAATGTGGGGACACAGTCAGTTGTCAGTGCTGGGCACCGGAGAGGGAGAAACAGACTTAGTTTTCTTTGAATACTTCCTCCCTGTTCCACTACCCCAACACAGGCGCATGTGCGCTCACGTGCACACACACACACACACACACACACACACGCCACATGGCTCCTTGGAGCATTGATCTGAAAAAAGAAAAATAAACTGAGGTTCCATTAGTAAGAGAAAGTGCCAAAAGAGAAGTATCACAAACATACACTAAAGCAAAGCAAAGCAAAGCAAAACAAAAGTCTGCAAGACTATGGAACTGCTACAGGGGAAGAGGAAAAGCCACCCAGGTAGGACCATCACCTACAAGACACATAGTCATTTTACACTCCTAAGAGAGACCGCTAGGATAATTTCTGATTAGGAGACAATATTTACTGTTCTATGTGCCAGGCATTGTTGTGAGTGCTTTACAGGAACTGATGGATTTAAGTCTCTTACCAACCTTAGGAGGTGCTACCATAATCAACCACATTCTGCAGGTAAGGAAGACAGATTCAGAGAGGCTGAGGAACATGTCCCAGGTCATACAGGGAGCAGTGGCAGCCGCAATGGGGGGCTGGATCGAGCCCTGTGGACTGACTTCCTGCTTAAGTGCTGTGCCGCAAACCCGGAGGGTGGAATTTGCGTACCCAGAGGGTGGAATGGTGGAATTTGTGCACCCAGAAGGTGGAATTTGCAATGCGAAGCCTCCTTTCATTAAACCAGCTTCATGTGAGGCTGGGGTCCGGCAGGTGCCAAGTATGAAAGAAATGTCTTTCAAATGTAAAAGTCAGGGCCGGGGGATTTAGCTCAGTGGTTCCAGTGCCTGCCTCACAAGCATAAAACACACACACACACACACAAACAAAAAAATCACAACAACAACCACAAACAAAAAGTAAAAGTCACCAGATGCCACTTGCCGGTGGTGAGATATGGTTGTGATTAAAAAAGAACACTCAAAACCAGAAGAAATATGTAACACGGAGGGAGGAGAAAGATGAAACCAGATGGTGAGACAGTATAAAGATGAGGGCAAATTTAAAGCTAAAAAACATGGGAGTAAAATTTCAAAAAGAGTAGCCTCAAAATAAGATTTTAAAAAAAGCATTGGGATGGCAGAGAAAAACAAAACAAAAAAAAAGTAGGCCAACATTGTAAATGAGAAAATTTTCTAAAATCCACATTTAAAGTAGCGTATATGAAATAAATATAGGAAAATGATAGCAAACAACAAATCAAACCTAAATATTTAAAAAGATAAAACTTTAAATAGGAACTAGAAGGTAAAAGAGAAATTAAGGTAAAAGCTAAGACCTAAGAGATACCCTGCCAAAAATTTCTAGTAGAATTTAGATTTTAAATTAAGCAGACTCAGGCACAGTGGTGCACGCCTGTAATCTTAGCACAGAGGTAGGCTGAGGCAGAGGATCACAAGTTCAAGTCCTGCCTGGACAACTCAGTGAGCTCCTGTTTCAAAATAAAATGTAAAAAAAGAAAGGACTGCAGGTCCAAGGTACAGGGCCCCTGGGTTTGATTTCTGTACACACACATGCGTGCACATCCACACACAAAAGTGGAGAGAAAGAACACTAGAAAGATGGAAAAGAAAATGTATTAAAGTGAGGCAAGAATAAAACTAGGTTATAATTAGACAATGACTGTAAGTGCCCCGGGTGGGTCTAGATGCTGAAGTTGAGAAGGCCAGGCAGGTTTTTTAGATAGTGATTCACTGTGTAGTTCAGGTTGGCCTTGAACTCACTACTACCCCAGGCTTACTGTGACCTAGCAAGCATCCTCCTGCCTCAGCCTCCTGAGTGCTGGGATTACAGCGGTGTGCCACCCACCCACACCACACCTAAATAACACCCAGACAGTTATTTGACAGTGTCCAGGCACCTTTACTGTCCACCCACAGCCCACTCAGCCCACAGGGGTGAAGACCAGGCTCCCAGCAGCCGAACACAACCCAGGGCCAAGTAGGAGTCTCTCAAAGTGGAGCCAGAACTCCTTCTGGTTTTTGGAATGCATTCATTTTGACCTTAGTTTCCCTTCCCCTCATTTCAGTCCTTTCCATATTTCTTACTTCGTGATGGATTTATGCCATCTGATTTCCTTGTAGCTCCCATGCTGTTTTGCACATACTCACCAGGTGCATACGTGCACCCCACCTTTATCCTGTTGTTTCATCTCAGAGGTTGCAACATTTTTTTTTAATTGATCCCCAGTTGCTTAGTTACCTCTTTCCCTGTCATTGGTGGCAGTGGCATGGGGTGGGGTGGGGATAAGATGATCTCCAGGACTTGCTCAGGGACTGGACTGGCAGGTGAGGGCATGACAGGTAAAGTACAGTCAGAATGACTCCTCCAGGGCTGCTTCTGTGACTGGGTGGAGGGATGTCAGGACAGAAGCCCAGGCGGAAGATGGTGCAGTCAGGAATTAAGTAAGGCTGGGGCTGGAAAGATCTGGGACAACAGAAGCTGTCTATCATCCCTGAATTGTCCAGAAAGTTACGACTACATGAAAGAATGATATTTGTGCCCTCCCCCCTTCAAAGGCCAGACACTTAATTTTGGAGGTAACTGGGTCATGAGGGTGGAGCTCTCAAACAAGGGGTGAGAGCTCCTAAAAGGAGCTGCAAAGCTGGCCAGCCCTCTTCCCGTCCTGTGAGGACTGGATTAGGAACCAGAGTGGGCCTCAATTAGACAATGAAGAGCTACTGCCTTGATCTTGGGCTTTTCAGCCTCCAGAATTGGGAGAGTAAATATCTGTACTTAAGTGCCGCTGTCCATAACACTCTGCTGCAGCAGGCCAGACTAAGACACATAGTCCCTCCCAAAGGCAAACCGGAATTCCTCTGGGGCAGCAGATGGCTTCTTTCGCAGCCAACAGGACGCATGAGTAATTGTGGTCCAACTCACATTCTGGATCTCGTAGGCATTTCTCAAAGCACTTGACATCATTAATAGGTCGTCCATCACCCAGAGACCAAACTGAGATTGTGAATATCACCACCCTGTGGTGCAGAGTCCACAACTCCCTGCAGTTCTCTACAATTATGTCCTTCAGAGCAACGCTAAACTTCCATCTCTTGGGGAACTACTGGGATCTCCCAGAACCCCACCAAGTGAAGCCTAATGAATCACTCTGCCCCTTCAACAGAAGAGTCCTTTAGAATAGATGCCCTATTCAAGGGCTGCCAGGAATACGTAAGATAGAAGTCTTTGATTTCATTTACGCAGGGCTCTTCTTTCCATACTGTGAGTTGACTGTCTTTTTGGTTCACGAAACAACTGACGTAGTTTCCCTGTACAAAGTCGTAACCACTTTCTCTCTTGTTAGTATTACACTCAGGATCCCTGCTAGGGGATCCCTGCCTCACCCCAGTTCATATGTTGGAACCCTAGGAGGTGGGGCTTTGGTAGGTGACTACTTGTTTTGGTTTTTGAGACACGGCCTTGCTATGTAGTTCTGTTACTGGCTGCTAAGGCCCCCATGCTCAGGTTGTCTGCTTGCCGCTGACTAAATCAAAGGAAGCCACATATTTGGGTAAAAGGGAAAGATTTATTCAAAGCTAGCTCTGAGGAGGTGGAGCGGTCCATTTGCCTCAATTCACCATCTGGGCAAGGGTCTTTTACAGCCAGAAAGAGCGAGAATAATGCATATCTCCACACTTGCTGTATCCCACCCAGCATCTTCACCTCATCTTTTCTTGTGGAAAACAAACCAGGCCCCTGGCAGCCTAGGCCTACCATCTGCATATTGTATCACTTCCTTTGGGACTAAGAGAGGAGGAAGTGGAGTGTTGCTATGTGCTAAGTTTGGAGTTCTATTTTACAGTGCAGTTACAGTTCAGGCTGGCCTTGAACTCACTAGGTAGCTCAGGCTGGTCCAATCCTCCTGCCTCCGCCTCCTGAGTGCTGGGTTTACAGTGCTGTGTGTGCCATCACACCTGGCTTGGTAGTGATTAGGTCACAAGCCAAGTCCTTATGAATAGGTTTAGTTTCTTTTTTTCTTTTGGTGCTGGGAATTGAAATAAGGACCTTGGGCTTTCAAGGCAGGCGGCGGAACCACGGAGCCAAATCCCTGGCCCAGGCTTAGTTTCCTTTTATAAAGGACTCTTAGGGAGCTTCCTTGCTCTCCCTGCCATGTTAGGACACAGTGGACAGACAGCTGACCACAAAGCAGGAATCCGCCCACACCAGACACTGAATGACTTCTCAGTCTCCAAAACGAAGAGAGAATCATACCTACTGCTCATAAACTACCCAGTCTATTAATTGTTATAGCAGCCCCAGTGGATCAAAATGGCCCCTTGGATGGATATTTTGGGTGTTTCTAAGTTCTTCAGCCACACAGTATGAATTTCTTGTTTTACTCACAGATAGCTGGTAATTGATTGTGGATACGTTTACAACCTCTCTGATGAAGACATGACTTTGGACACTTTTGGGAACGTTTACTGTAAAATTGTATCAGGGATACACTGAAGTTAAGGACTGCAGGCACACTTGCGTGGCCGCCTCTTCCCCCAGGTCCACTTTGAGTGTGCTGCACTCTTCCTTTAAACCACACGAGGAAGCTAGGCTTGCGGTAATGAAGGGCATGGGGACATGTCCATCTGGGGCTTTTATGACAGGGAACATCACCGCACTTCTTGCTGGATGTCCAATCAAAATGAGAACTGCCTGTTAAACTTCGGAGGAAGACTTCTCAGCTCTCCCCCTTGCTCCTATTTTTGGTTTCGTTTGCCTCACCCTTTCTTGTCTTGCAATCTGAGATTTCATTGTTTCAATCCCTTGTTCTCTTCCTTTTCCGCCTCTTCCCATTCCTGTCCCCACTGGCCTCTCTCTCAGCCACTGAATCCATGCTGGATTTCTTCCATTCTCTTCTTTGAACAGACAAGTTTTGCCTACACCACTGTTTGGCTGAGGGTTCTGGAAGAATCCGGGAGAACATTAAAAACCACAGGATCCTTGGGTTCATTTAGTCTTCAAACAAACACCCTGGGCTTATGCAGGCACTGTAGATGCTTAGAAAATGTTCACAATTTTCTATTTTCAAAGCACTAACGGTTATTAGCACGAGAATCCTGAAATTTGCTTGTACCATGGCAGTGTTTCTTCAAGCATTGCAAAGGGACAATTTGGTCACTTTTTCCTGATCCAATGAGGCAGTGGACTTTTCTACGAGGCAGATTCAAGCCACCTTTTATTTTGCCATTGTATTCCTGATATTCGATTTTTCTATGGTCACCACGGGACATGTGATCTCCACTGCATTTGACAGCTCCTCTCTTCTTCTGGCTGCTTTCTGGGGGTTGCCTTTTCTTTTCCCACACTTACATGTTGGTGTCTTCTGGGTTTCTCTTCGCTGCAAGGCCCGTGGGCAGCCCCTGGACATTTCAGTGGGTTTCACCACTGCACCCACTCTTACCTGAAACACTCATCCCAGCCCTGTCCACTTGGCTGAGGGTCCATCGCTGGCCTTTCCCCATCCATGTCTGTACAAACCTCTAGGGGTGCTCATCCCAGCGCGCAGGACACTGTCGCCCGCTGTCACCAGCCTGCACAGGTATGGCTGGGCCCGCGCCCGGCCTGCTCACCTCTGTCCTCAGTGCCAGCACCGCAACTAGCCTTGTACAGGTGCCCACAGAGCCGCTGGAGAAACAGAAGCACCAGACACACGTCCTAGCAGGAAAGGGCCAGAGTGGCTACCTCGGGTGCTGGAAGCTGAGAGCGGCCTCAAGTCTGGCCCCGTCCCGGGGGTGCTACCCAGCTGGGTGCAGCCCTGCCCCTGGGCAGGGGAGGGCCGGGAGGGAGAGGCGCTGTCTGGGGAGAGGGGACCTAGGTCAACCAGGAAGAGGTCTCAGGGGCCATTCAGCTCGGAGCCGACAGCAAGTTGTCCCCACGGGCCGGGGTCAGAGGGGTCGCAGGACCTTTGACCCGGCG